AGCAGCAGGGGGTATAGGTTGGGCCTAATTGGCTAAGGGGGAGGGATGTCTGATGACCTTAGGTGAAATCCTGCACTGGAGAACTAGTGGGACTCCCCTCAGAATCAGGGAACTGAGGAGGCTCCAGGGGGCATGTGGGCCTCCTAGGGAGAGCATCTAGGAGGGTATCATCTAGGAAGTGCAGCTTCTTAGTATCTGGAAGTAGCATGAGCCAGACATATCCTGCAGCTCTCCCTTAAGTGAGGGTTCTGTTTAAGGGCTGTAAACACCTGTTCATAAGGGTCCTCTGTCCATTTTCCTTCCTTTTCACAGAATAAGTCCAACTGTAAAATAGTATTATAATGTAAAGAACCATTTTTAGAACAAATTTCTTGGTCTTCCAATTTGTATTGGACCCAAATGGTATTGCAGCAGGAAATGAATTTCTTTCTCTTGAAGCTGTCAATATGAATTTGCTCCAATTGCCCAAAAGTCACCCTAGTGGTGAGTTTTTCGGGATGCTCACCATCGTCCCTGTGTCTAATGAGGATCTCTACAGAAGTTTTTCTAAGTCTAGTGAGAGCCCAGTTATTTTCCCTTTTAAATTCTCACCTTTTTTTCTCAAGAAAGGTCAGTGGGGAAGTTGTCACTAGTTCCTGCAAAGAGGGTGTATGTACAGTTAACAGGGTGTGATGAAAGTGAATTATGAGATACGAGTGGGCAGTGGAGTGATGACTGCGTCCACTGGCAAATGGAATACAAGAAAAAAGGTGTTGTAATAAGCGAAGTATAGAAGGAGAGGTGAAAATAGGGTGACAGCAAAAAAGAATGAGTTCATCTCCTTTGCATGAATGAAGCTGGAAACCATCATTCTCAGCGAACTAACACAGGAATGGACAACCAAACACCTCATGTTCTCACTCATAAGTGGGAGTTGAACAATGAGAACACAGAGACACATGTAGGGGAACATCACAAACCAGGGCCTGTTGGGGGGTGGGGGGAAAGGGGAGGGAGAACATTAGGAAAAATACCTAATGCATGTGGGGCTTTAAACCTAGATGATGGGTTGATGGATGCAGCAAACCACCGTGGCACATGTATACCTATGTAACAAACCTGCATGTTCTGCACATGTATCCCAGAACTTAAAGTAAAAAATAAAAAATAAAAAATGATAGTTGAGAAAATATGGGATAGAAACCAGTAATTTGTGCCAATAAAATTCTTGGTTTTTTTAACCCCCACCCCCAAAAAATAGGGTGACAGGATTCTCATAGTCTGAATTCCACAAAAAGGGAAGAAAGCATTTTGGTTGAGGAAAAAGAGGGACTAGAGGAGGCTGCTGAAAATGGTGGTATGACAAAGACCAAGACTGCCCGTAGGGTGGAACTCTAACCCACAATCCTAGAGGGAATGTAAAAAAATCCAGAGTGCAATGGGGGACCTCTCAAAATAACAAAAGAAACAAAGGCCTGAATAGAAACAATCCTCCGAATAGGAGGGTGAGCAAAGGGGATACTCTCCCATCCATGAAGGCCAAATGGTGCCAATTGGTCTTAATTTGGGGTTCAGGTACATGTCTCCCTCAGATCCCTTCAGCTTGTTAGTCCCTTCATGTTATTGGTCCCTTTGTAGTCACCAGGAAAGATGATGCAGATGAACCCCCAAACTGTGGCTCAGCCTGGGAAGTTTCTTGGCTTTGTGCCAGAAAGAATTCAGAACAAACTGAAAGTAAATTTATTAGAGCAACAAAGGACAAGAAAATGGCTGTTCCATAGACAGAGCAAGGTTTTCTATAGGCAGAGTAGCGCTCGTTGCTTGCTGGCTAGCTATATTTATAGCTACTCCTTAACTATGGCAAGTAGTGGGTGGTTATTCACGAATTTTCTGGAAAAGAGGTGGAGAGTTTCCAGAACCTAGGGTTCCTCCTATTTTAAACCATATAAGGTAACTTCTGGGCATTGCCATGGCATTTATAAACTATCAGGGCACTGTTAGGAGTGTCTTTTAGCATGCTAATGCTTTATAGTTAGAGTATAATGAGCAACGAGAGTGACTAGAAGTCGCTTTCATTGCCATCTTGGTTTTAGCTGATTTCAGTCAGTTTCTTTACTGCATCCTGTTTTGACCAGCAGGGTTGTGACTGGTGCTTGGAAAGCAAGTCCTGCTGATCCGCCTCAATTCCAGAATGTATACATATTTTAAAACATCATGTTGTACATCATAAATATATGCAATTTTATCTGTCAGATAAAATGCTAAAAAAAGAAATTCACTGCTTCCAATACATATAAAACATAAAGTGAGTGCTTAGGTCAGGACTTTATTCACACAAAGTGCTTAATAAAAATTAGTTATAATCATTATCACAATTTTCATTATTCTTATTTTTATATTATCCTATTTCTCATTCTGTTTTTCTTGGGAACTACAACTACATTTTTTAAAAATTATACTTTAAGTTCTGGGATACATGTGCAGAATGTGCAGCTCTGTTACATAGGTATACATGTGCCATGGTGGTTTGCTGCACTCATCAACCCGTCATCTACATTAGGTATTTCTCCTAATGCTATCCCTCCCCTGGCTCCCCACCCCCCAAGAGGCCCCAGTGTGTGATGTTCCTTTCCGTGTCCATGTGTTCTCATCGTTCAACTCCCACTTATGGGTGAAAACATGCGGTGTTTGGTTTTCTGTTCCTGTGTTAGTTTGCTGAGAATGATGGTTTCCAGCTTCACCCATGTCCCTGCAAAGGACATGAACTCATCCTTTTTTTATGGCTGCATAGTATTCCACGGTGTATATGTGCCACATTTTCTTTATCCAGTCTATCATTGATGGGCATTTGGGTTGGTTCCAAGTCTTTGCTGTTGTGAATAGTGCTGCAATAAACATACGTGTGCATGTGTCTTTATAGTAGCATGATTTATAATCCTTTGGTTATATACCCAGTAATGGGATTGCTGGGTCAAATGGTATACAACTACATTTTTAAAGGATACATTTAATTTTAAAAAACATACTGTTGCTTGCATGTATTTACAAAATAGGCACTGATAGGAAATTATGACAATGCATTTATTTTTAAAAAGGCATTGTATGCAAGATGTGACCTGATATAAAGTCCTGAGAACACAGAAAATGTCCATATCTGGTGACGTGCAACTCCATGGGTTAGAAATGCTCTCCTGAAAACATGTTTCTGGGCTCTCCCACAGGAACCACAAGCTCAGTACAGAGACAGATCTTTTGGTCCCTGACACTGACTCTTCTTTCTCCTTCTTTCAGAGGACCAGAACAGGATGGGATCTTTCATTCATCAGAGCTTTTAAACTTAGTTCTGCTCAGGCATCTCACAGTGGCTCCCACCAGCTCTCTCATTTGTAACCGCAGAGACATTGAAGAGTATTTTCATCTCAGAAGAGAAAGTAAGTGATGGGATAGACTTTAATTTCCAAAGACCTGGTTGCTGGCTCCAGTAAGTGTCCTAGGTAAGAAAACAACCTACTGTTGTGCTGTCTGTATGTGTAAATGGATGACATTAATGTTAGATTTTGAAATGCAGTGGTCTGAGACAGACATTGAATCCTGCTGTGCCTGTGGGAACTGAAGAAGAGTAGTGATGTTCTTGTTATTGTTTGTCAGGAACTGCAGTTCGCTGCACACCTTAGACTCTGGTGACATCCCTGAAAGGTATTCACTGTTGGAGCAATTTTTATGACTTTTCAGCTGACTCGTGGTTTCAATTTAAATTATTTATCATAATTGAGAAAAAAATGTAATGTTATTTTCCTTTTACTGATGAAGGAACAGGTAGAGAGGTTAAATGATTTGCTTACATTTATAAGGCTAATTAATGTGGTGACCAGGTGAGAAATCAAGTCTGTTTGATCCAAGGTTCTTAATCCCTAACTTCAAAGCATCTGACTGTATCTGAGTCTTTTAGCATTTCATTGCATTCATGGTATGGATTCTTTTCTATAACCTAGATTTGTGATCACTGTCATCCAGTTTCATGACACAAACTTATGTCTATGTCTGTGACAATTTCCTATGACAGCTGTTTAGTTTTCAGAACTTTCTTTTCCTTTGCTGGCATCTAAACCTGATTTTAATGTACAGATTTTTTTTTGCCTTCACTTTATTGTTATTTTTATCAGTTTTATTTATCAATTCTATTTCTTTTGCTCCAGTCAATAATACTTTCAATTCTTGCTGGGTGTGGTGGTGCACGCCTGTAATCCCAGCACTTTGGGAGGCCAAGGTGAGTTGATCACCTGAGTTCAGGAGTTTGAGACCAGCCTGGCCAACATGGTGAAACCCTGTCTGTACTAAAAATACAAAAATTAGCTGAGCATGGTGGTGTGCACCTGTAATACCAGCTACTTGGGAGGCTGAGGCATGAGAATCGCTTGAACCCAGGAGGCGGAGGCTGCAGTGAGCTAAGATCATGCCACTGTACTCTAGCCTGGGTGACAGAGCGAGACTCTGTCTAAAACAAATACTTCCAATTCTTTTTGTAGATAATTGTATACTATAGAGAATGGAGATATAATTTTTTAAAAGTAAGTTTTCATGAAAATGCTCTTTTTAGCCCTTTCATATATAGTTGTTTGTCCTCTTGTAAAAGAAAACTTCATTCTAGCTGTAGTGCTGGGTATGAAAGGTGTCAAGAATGTTGCTGTCAATCCGTTTCATACCCACAAGCAGGACAACAATATAAGTTTTGTGAGCCCTTGAAACTTTTGCCCTTGTAAGTTCTTTCCTCCATAAAAAGTATTAAAAATTATATTTTATGAGTGTATTGGCATAAAGAGAAATATAATCCAGTTGTACTTAGATTATATTCATTTTCTTCTTCTTCTTTTAAAGAAATTAAGCATTTCAAGGGCTCCTAAAAGTATCATGGGCTGTTGGCACTACTACTGGGCCTTAATGAATATGTCAGCACAGCCTACTATATGTCCTCCTAATAAAAATTGATGGAGACAGGATAAGATAATTGACTGTCCCAAGTTTCATCGATCAAGAAATAGAATAAATCTCTATAAAATATCACCAGATATTCTTGCCTAAATGTTTGTGTCATAAGACTTATTTATTATCAGTTTTCATTACGTGCTTCCAGAGCTTCTCAATGACATTTTTCACTTCCTTATTTTTGAGGGTGTAGACTAAAGGGTTCAACATAGGTGTAAATAGGGTGCAAAACACAGTCACAACTTTGTCAGTGGGGAAGGAGGTTAGAGGTCTTAGATACAGGTATGAACAAGGGACAAAGAATAAGATGACAACAAAGATATGAGAGGTACAACTAGACAGAGCTTTGTGACGCCCTTCAGAGATATGAGTCCTTAGGGAGCACAGGATGATGACATAGGAAGCAACTAGCATGGAAAAAATGAAGAAACACAATGATCCACTGTTGGCAGCTATCAGAGGCCCCAAGGTGTGAGTGTCTGTGCAGGCCAGCTCTAGAAGAGGTACTAAATCACACATAAAGTGGTCAATGACATTGGGGCCACAGAATGGTAACTGGGCTATGAACAAAGTCTGGATCCCTCCATGCACAAATCCCAGAATCCCAGCCACCCCCATCAGGAATCCACACATCGGTTGACTCATGATGGTTGCATAGTGCAAGGGCTTACAGATGGCCACATAGCGGTCGTAGGCCATGACACTTAATAAGATGATCTCAGCTGCCGCAAAGAAATGTTCTGCGAAGAGCTGAGTCATGCAGCCATTGAAGGATATGGTGTTCTTTTCAGAGATCAAGTCAAAGATCATTTTAGGGGCTATGGAAGAAGAGTAGAAAACATCTATAATGGACAAACAGGACAGAAAAAAGTACATAGGGGAATCCAGGGCTGGGCTGATGAAGATGATGACTGAGATGAGCAGGTTACCTGCCAATGTGATCAAGTAGGTGATTAAAAACATAATAAACAAGAGTTTCTGCAGTTCTGGATTGCGAGTGAGGCCCAGCAGGATGAATTCTGTTACATTGTTCATGTTTTTCATAGCTGAGGTTGTGTGTATATGGCCGATCTGGAAAAAAAAAAAAAAAAAAAAAGTATTTCTGAATGATGATATTTTAAATTCAATACTAAAATATTTAATCACCTCTTTAGTCCTGGTTTTTGGGGGTGATGGAGCTACATCGCCACTCACCTCTGCTGTTTTGCAGAGCTGTAAAGAGGAACAGAAGATTAGATTTCTCCTAATTCATATATTAATGAAATAGTGATAATATCTTACAAGTACCACAATAAAACAAGATTTTGTTCTAAATGTTGACTTCCAAACTTCCTTTCTGGCTCTAAAATTTCACATATGGCTTTCTTTCATTTTTGGAGAGGACAAATCTTATCAATAACAAATGTTTTGAAATTATACTTTCTTTTGTTAGGGTTATTTATAGGTATATGAATCCAGTATGTATATTAGATACTAAAGTGCAAAGCCTTACTAAATCTAAGCCGCTGTGTTCTGTGATCTATTGTCCTTTTCTATCATTAAATGCACATGTACACAGATAGAGACAGAGCTGTAAATGGAGATATTTTTCTTTTGGAATGCTGGGTAACTATCGCAATAACAACTCATTGAGGATAATTCATTCAACATCCCTGAATGTTGCATCCATCCCTATAAATGACCCTTATTTTTCATGCTCACTCTTTCTGCATCTTTAATTGTGGCTATGTAAATGGTACAAAGTTATAAAATTTAATGATATTTCATAAACACATTTTCCTCCTGGTTGGATTTTTATCACATATAGAATTATACACTGGATTAGATATATTTCCCCGCTCACATCTTAACAAATGGAATTAAATGAGTCATGATTTTTTCCCTGAGTTTTCTATTGGCAAGACAGAAATGTTAGGGTCACCTGAGATAATGCAGTTTTCTCTTTTGGCATAAGTTTGGTCAATTAAGATGAACTTGTAGTTTTCATTGCTAACTGCTAAACAACTGGAAAATTGTATTGCTACCTGAAAACATTGAATATATTTAAGAATGTAGATGTTTTTGAATAATCCCAAGAGCTTCAAGAATAAGTACATGTTGTTACAAAAGAGTGTAAGATATTTTATTTCTTCTCCTCCCCCTTTTCTCCTTCTTTCCCTAACCCCTGGCAAAAGTGTAACCACATAGTTTTCCTCAAAAATTTCTAGAAACAAATCAGTCAGCATCATGACCTCTGAGCTTCATTAAATGTGAGTAAAAATATCTTTGGTTTTCAGGAAAACTCAGTTGCTAAGTTGCTTCCTCTTTATTCGTGGCTTCTGTAGATGGTGACTATATGGTTAATCATTCTTAATGGATTTAATTCACCAATTCTAACTTCAATGTAGCAATATGGAAGTCACGAAAAGGGGAAAAACATTTCAAGCATGACAAACAGAAATCTACAGAATCAGTGTATTCAGTGAGACATAAATGTTAACAATAATGTTTTAAAAGTGACTTCAGTAGTTCTTAGCAGCATCTGGTCTGGCAACTTTTTTTTTTTTTGAGACGGAGTCTCGCTCTGTGGCCCAGGCTGGAGTGCCGTGGCGCGATCTCGGCTCACTGCAAGCTCTGCCTCCTGGGTTCATGCCATTCTCCTGCCTCAGCCTCCCAAGTAGCTGGGACTACAGGCGCCCACCATCGTGCCCGGCTAATTTTTTTTGTATTTTTAGTAGAGACGGGGTTTCACCATGTTAGCCAGGATGGTCTTGATCTCCTGACCTCATGATCCACCTGCCTCAGTCTCCCAAAGTGCTGGGATTACAGGCGTGAGCCACCGCGCCCAGCCTGGTCTGGCAACATTATGCATAGACTTTTCTGTTGATATTTTTATGTCAGTGTGTCCAAATTCATTTTCAGAGAAAAATACTAAACTTTAAGTCGGGTATGTAATGACAAAGACTACTTCACTGAAAACAAATTGGCTAAAACAAGTTAATCTGCTTAAAATTTGGGAGAAAAGATTTAGTTTTCACTGACCTGGATCTAGCTGATTGTGGATTCCTCCATTTTAGATTGAGTGCGGTCACTGCTTTCTTCTCCTGCAGGCGTGGAACACGGCCACAAATAGACTCTACCAGCTGACAAGTGGGATGTTGGAATTCTCTAAACGGCTCTCTGAATTCTGACGTTTCAGTTTATTTTGCTTTCCATTGTCAGTCTGAATTTACTAAGAAAACAAGCTGTTTCAGTTAGAAAACTTCATTATCTCTAGGATTTAGTGTCTACTCACTTCCTGGGTTTCCTATGAATGTATAAGCCAATCTTCAAAATATATCTATTTTTCAACTCTCTTAGGACTATATTCAGTCCAAATTAAAAACTAGGAATAATGCAAAATTCTTCAAATTTGGAAAATGCAACTATAAAACGAATAAGTGAATCAAATCCACCTGATTGGATATTGTTTTCTCAAATCTATTCTGATGAAATTTTGCTTTCTTGAGTCCCTGAAAAATGTGGTGAGAGAATTCCTTTTATTTCTGATTCAAGTTCTTCTTTCAATTCTGTTTTCTTAGAAACCCACTAAGCTTAGGAGTGGTGTCTCCCAAACACATCTTCATCTTTTTGGTTCCTGTCTCTGCTGCTATCATTTGCACACAGGTCCTTTTTTGTAATTCTTTCTTCATTGACTCTAGAGAAATCTTTAAATAGACTATCACAGACTTCAGGATTTGGCAAGGCATTGACGTTTCAAGTACCCAGAGGATTAGTAATTGGCCTTGCTGGAATGTTTAGCAAAGCAATAGTCAGGTCCTTCATTTACTCTCACTTGGCACCCACAAACGTCATTAGTGGCTGGTTTAGAAATGCAGTTGAACTTGGGTTAAAGATATGTCTGTGGCTATTGTTTAGGATAAGATTTGGAAACCTTCATTATAGGGCTGTTTTGCTAATTGTGGCATTGTTGAGCCTAGCCTAGGATATGGGGTGGTTTTAGGCAAAGGTCAGAGTTTAGAGAATACATTTTTTTCTGAACCTATGTCTGGTCTAAGTAGTATGGTTGCTCTGAAGAATGGGGGAATGCCGGTATTCAAGGTCATGTGTCTGATTACTCTCGGAGATTGTGAGATTTTTATTAATGACTGACCCAGGGGACTTACATGGCAGGTTTTCCAACTACCAAAGATTGGTCAATTTAAAGTGACAGAGATACTGACTTCCTGTAGGATGATTACCGAGAAGACATGTTCTCATGATGAATTCAAGAGTATGTATTTTTTCTTTCTACCCCAAGACAGAATGGTGTGACTTGGAGTAGGTACCATGCTTTCCCACATTGCCATTGAGAATCAATCACACTCAGCCAAGCACTCATGTATGATGACATCCAGAGGTGGAGAATAGAGACACTCTAGAAGAGGGCTCTGCTACTATCTTCTCTCCTTCAGCTTCTGAGGCGATGAAGAACTGACTGCAACTTTGCATGGAATCACCTTTTCTGCTCTCAACTTTTGGTTTCAAAACAAACTGACACACTCCCAAAGTCCAGGACCAGAAAACAAAAGCAAAACTTTCCTCTATTCTCAATAGAATGGGGCCTTATGGACTGTCATGGAGCGATTCTCCTACCTCAGTCTCCTGAGTAGCTGGGATTACAGATGTGTGCCATCACACCCAGTTAATTTTTGTATTTTTAGTAGAAACAGGGTTTCACCATGTTGGCCAGGCTGGTCTCGAACTCCTAAACTCAGGTGATCCACCTGCTTCAGCCTCCCAAAGTGCTGGGATTACAGGCATGAGCCACTGGGCTCGGCCTGGATTTTTTTTTTTTAATCCCTTCCATCAGTCTATATCCTTTAAGTGGAGAATTTAATCATTTACATCAACAGTGGACATTGATATGTTTTTGTTTCTGTCATAATGGTAATTGTTACCTAGTGGCTTTGTAGTTTCAGTTGTGTAACTGCTTTATAAGACTCATAAATTTTATACTTTTGCATGTTTTTATGATGGTGAATGTGTTAGACCATTCTTACATTGCTATAAAGGAATACCGGGGACAGGGTAATTTATAAAGAAAAGAGGTTTAATTGACTCACAGTCCTTCAGGCTGTACAAGCATAGCATTGGCATCTGCTTGACTTCTGGGGAGGCCTCAGGAAGCTTTTACTCATGGTGGAAGGTGAAGTGGGAGCAGGTATGTCATTACAGCCAGAGCAGGAGCAAAGTGGGGGGAAGATGCCACAGACTTTAAAATAACCCAGTCTCATGAGAACTCACTCACTATCATGAGAACATCACCAAGTCATGAGGGATCCACCTCCATGACCCAAACTTTCATTAGGCCCCACCTCCAACATTGGGGGTGATATTTCAACATAAGATTTGGGTGGGGACAAATATCAAAACTATATCATTCCACCCCTGTCCCCCTCAATCTCATGTTTTTGTCACACTGCAAAATACAATTATTCCTTCCCAATAGTCCCCCAAAGTCTTAACTCATTCCAGTATTAACTCAAAAGTACGAAGTTCAAGTCCAAAGTCTCATCTGGAGATTAGTTTCTTCCATCTACAAGCCTGTAAAATCAAAATGGGTTATGTACTTCCAAGAAACAATAGTAGTACAGGCATTGGGTAAACATTCCCTTTATAAAAGGGGGAAATCAGCCAAAAGAAAGGGGATATAGGCCCCCATGCAATTTCAAAGCCCAGCAAGGCAGTCATTAAACTTTAAAGCTCCCAAATAATCTCCTGTGACTGTATGTCCCACATCCAGGGCACACTGTTGTGAGGAGTGGGCTCCCAAAGCCTTGGGCTGCTCTGCCCTGTGACTTTTCCATGCTGATGTTGCAAGCTCAACCAGTCTGGGTGCTGGAAGGCAGCAGCTCCCTTCTTATACCTCCACTAGGAAGTGCCCTGGTAGGGACTCTGTGTGGAGCCTCGTTAGAGGTTCTTTATAAGGGCCTCACCCTTGCAGTAGGCTTCTGCCTGGGCATCTAGGCTTTCTCATACGTTTTCTGAAATGTAGATGGAGGCTGCCAAGTCACCTTCACTCTTGTACTCTGTGTATCTGTAGACTTAATCGACATGGAAGCTGCCAAAGCTTATGGCTTGTGCCCTCTAGAATGGCAACTGGAGCTGTGCTAGGATCCCTTTGAGCTGTGGCTGAAGCTGGAGCAGCTGGGATGTGGGGAGCAGTGTCCATTGCTAGAGAGGTAGTATGATCTTTTGGGTGTGTCACAACACTCCTTTTTCCTATGGTCCCAGAATTCAATGCTGGTTCCTTTTTGGATTTACTTTTGTTTGGATGGAACTTTATTCCTTTCTTAAGGGTGTGACTGTAGGATATATTGTGTAGGGCCCTTTAGCTTCTGGGTACTTCCAAGAGGCCAAATCTATGAATTTTTTGATGAAAGATAGCCTTAGTGTAATGGTTTTCTCAAATACTGATTTTTGTAGGTTGTAGCGACAGTCAGTTGGGCATGTGAGAGGGATCACTGCCTCCTGCAGAGATCAGCAGGGGGAAGTCTCTTATTTTATTCCCCAGCACTGTGCACTTCTGTTAACAGGGATGGTATTGGGTTGTTTAGTTTTACCTGCAGGTCTGTAGGTGGCACTTGTGATACGAGCCAGCTGAGCACTGTGTAGTTGTGTGGGCAGTTTAATAAGCTGTGCAGGTTGACTTCCAAGCCAGTAGGTGGCATTTCCAGGAGAGAAGTAGCAGTGGGATTTTTTCCTTGGATTTTATTCATTACAGAAGGTCTGGGTGTCCTATGTAAGGGGTGGGGCCATGGAACTCCCAGGGCTCCCTGTCCCATGCTCTGCTGCTGCAGTGGTTGGATGGGGCAAAGCCAGGCATGGTTGGGTCTGGGAAGTCCTGGACTAGGCTCTCCAAGGCTGGTGCAAGTGCTGATTCTGCTGTGGGTTTGGGGTCAGGTCTCAGGCTACTGGGGCAACCATCCAGGAAGGGGCAGAGGCACTTCTGCTGCATCAAAGTACCTTCATGCTAGGGGGAGGGGTGGCCATGAATCAGCAGCTGGAAGTGGCAGTGGGATCTGCTCCACCCCCAAACCTCCAACCCCATGGGTTTCCCTATAGCATCAAGCCACCAGCAGCTGGCTAGAACCACTAGGCCCATCCTAAGCTATCTGGGTTCAGATGTCAAAGCCTCCCCAGGCCTTGAAACTCCCTGTCTGGGGCAGAAGCCTTGACTCTCAGGCCACACCCTTCCTGGTCTGGTCCTATGAAGGGAGGGGTTCATGTGCCACAGCATGAACCCACACCACACTCTCCTCTCACTTCTGACTGTGGGGGCTCCAGATCACATCAGAGCAGATCACAGATCTCATCTCCATGCTCCTGGATGACATGCTTGAATTGTGCAGGGATAGGACCAGGCCAACAGCCTTGTTCTCGGGGTCCCTGGACTCAAGTGCTAGCTGTGATAGGGAGGGCAAGCTGGTCCCTGGCCACTGGAGGAACACTCAGGTAGGGCAACAGTGGCTGCACTGTGGGCCTGCCACTTGGAAGGGTAGTCCTTTCTCCATAGGAATGGCTAGGCAGGCAGCTTTGGGAGAGACTGGCAGGCATGGGGTATGTGGTCCAAATGACCTCAGTCCCACAGTAGAAGCAGTGGAACCTCTCCTTGAGGCACATGAGAGCACCTGGCCTCCCCTCTCACTACCTGGCCCAACAGCCAGCAGTGGCAGGGGCAGCCTCAGGGCAGGACAGAGATCCTTGGGTAATGGACTCCCAGAATGGCACCATGCTCCAGCTGCCCAGTGCTTGGAAGTCTATGAGACTCCATGTAAGTTTGAGAAGCACCTGTGCATGATCTCCAGACAGCTGTCTATGCCAGTCTGGAGGCCTATGGGGGTTGAGGGACTCTCCTGTAGCTAGGATTGTAGAAGTCTGCAGCAGGAATGTGGAGCTCTGGGGTTCCTTCACTTCCCCCTTCTGTGGGTCTGGGGCAGCTCTTGTCTCCTAGCAACCCCAAACAGGCAACTCCCTGTCTCCTTCCTTCCTTCACTCTCAGTGTCTCCTGTTGCCTCTTTGTTGAATTCAGTGCTCTTTCTCAGACGATCTATTTAAAGTGTGAATATCTACTTGATATTTTGGTTCCGCTCTGTGGAAGAGGTGCACCCCAGCCAAATCTAGTCAGTCATCTTGTAGTTGCATATTTTTTAATTGTAAATTTTTTAATACCATGTAGTATCTCA